AGGCATGAAGGTCTAGTCAGAGACATATTAGAGGCAGAAACAGGAGTTAGGAGGGGTAGAGGTAGACCTAGGTTAGATTACTGTTCGCAAATAGTTAAGGATGTGGGTTGTTCTAGTTTTAGGGAAATGCGAAGTTTAGCTCAGGATAGAAAGGAGTGGAGGTACGTGTCCAACCAGTCTTAGGACTGACGACTTTATGATGATGAAGAGTTTGTCGAATTAATACCATAAATAGAAAAACTACAAAGCAAACATAGTACGATCATCGAATAACAGCAATAAATTAAATCGTGACAGAACGTTGCGGAGAGTGCAAGGTGAAAGGGTCTAAAAATCAATGGCGGTTTGTTAAACGAAGCATACAACAAATAAGTTAATAAATAAAAATTTTATAGTATCCATTTCATTCCCTAATTTTTTCAGATATTAATTCAGAGCCAACGATAAGTGATAATGCAAAGATTCATATTAATTAACAACAATTAATAAATTAAAATCCAATCATTGTCACCTACTAATCAAATTATTGTTGGAAAAAGGAAATTTATAAATTTAGATCAGTTATTTGATTTTTTCCTCCTCAATCGTAAAAAATTAATTTTATGAATAATAATACACATCATAATGAAATTGTTATCAATTTAGTTCTACAGCTGATTTTTATTTGTAGGTTGTGTATTTTACATCTTTATTCCCGTACATAGTTTTGACAATTTTTTTTGGAAGAGGTTTAACTCTAAAAGGCGCAAGTGCTGGCCTGGCGCACATGTATACACCTAAGGTAAGGAGTATTTTGTTATTTTAAAAGATTTAGCTTGTTATGATTTTTATTTGTTTTAATTGAAGTAGTGTATCATTGTTCAATATTCCAAGAAGATCTCGGTCTTAGTACGTTGTGAAGTTCAGTGTGCTGAACAAGAATTTACCATTTCTCACATAGCTTTTAAGATTCGAAAAAAAAAAAGATGCTTCTTTCATGTTGTCTTTTCTTTCTATAACCCTATGATCCTAACTCAACCAAATTTTAACCGTTTGGGATCATAGTATTACAGCAGGAAAAGACAGTTGTGGTCGTATCATTTTTTTAATTTATATTAGTATAGCTCTAATAAAAAAAAACAAAAAGTTTGTTGAATAAGTTTAGATTAGAGTTGGATTACGTTAGCCTTGTACTTTATTTCTAAAGTCGAACGCTCTCTGAAGAAATAGTTGCGACCCCCAAAACATATGTATTTATAATGCATATAATATATACAGGATGTAACAGAAATAAGTGCTGAGCTTTAAAATAAATAATCGCATCACAGTAATTTACAATCCGAAGTCGGTCCTGTGCGTGAATTGACAACGTAGGTGTCTACCGACTAGCATAGTGCGATAAAACCGCTGCAGCTACATGGATGGAGAATGTAAACATTACCGATTATCGAACGTCTAAGATAAACAAACAATTTGGTAATACAAATAATGTTTAGATTAAATAAATCAAATAAGTACGTTACAGGCAGCACTATGTAAATGTAAGAACACAAAAGAAAGAAAAATTGTGTTATGTTATATTTTTTTGCTGTTGGTTGTAAGTAAACTTACCAAAAAGTCAAGTAAGCCTCTAAAAAATTCGCACCACCCGTTTCCCGAAAACAGTTCTTGAAATCACAAACGATGTACTTACGTCGCACCAAAAGTGATTAATAATCTTCTTCTTTCGAAACCACTGACATATTTCCATATTGTCCAACTACCACGATTCTACGGTGTGTTTCCTCTTTCACCTAACGCTTAGATACAAAATGTTTAACGAAACACTGGTTTCCAGCGCCTACGCTACACATCGTGTCTCTGAACGTTAGGTGGAAGGGGATTCGCAGAATCGAGAGTTCACTGTATGCTTAAAATTTCATCAATACTTATTTCTGTTACATCCTGCATTAATTATTATTATTTCTATAGTTCAAAATAAGGAAAATGTTTCAAATAAAAGTTATGTAAACTTCATCCGTTCTTTAATACAAAAATTTTGAAATTCTTTTCCCATAAAGGCAATGTACTTTTGCTGTTATTGTTTATAATTTAAAATTGTAGTTGATTTTGACGGATACGACCATGTGAATTTCCAAAAATCATCCACTACTACTAATATATGACTGTACTGTTTATTTGTTGAAGGCATAGATTCTAATTGATCAGCATGAGAAGTAATTAGTAGGCCTTCTGATTTGGCTATCGGATGTAATCAACTTTCTTTTTTACCCTTTTCTGTTAGCTAGTATAATACAATTTATAATGAACAATAAACAACTTCAATATCTTATTAATTGCTAGAATATGTAAGTGATCGACCTGTATTAAATCAAGTTTTTTAATGATTCCTGCATTTATTATACTTTTACTGATAATCATTATAATAAAAAGCAGTTTATATCATCAACACGGCACATTCGAGAACCGTTTCTGTGTTCAATTTCGTTAGTATATTCTCTCAACAAAAGTGCCCATCTGGGAATTGTGCTGTGAGATCTTTTTTACTAATCATGCTCTGAGATGCGGCACAGCCGACGATAATTTTAAATTTGATACTCTAAACTTCTAAACTTTTAACTGCCGTTACTACCGCAAGAACTTCAAGCACGTAGCTATGATATTTTTTTTAGCAGCTGCCAGTTTCTTATTCATGAAGTAAAATGGATGAAATTTCATCTTGGTTTATTAATGAAAGCAATTTCTGTAGGTTCCATCCCGTGCAATCTCTTGTATGCTTGCGATCCATTTATTAATAAGATACTCATTATTAGTAATAATGGTTATCCTATTGGTAATAATTTATTACCATCAAAAGACCTAATACTATCTTCAACGTCTGTGAAGGTCAAAGTGAAAGAATCTTTTTTCATCGAACCACCTAGCCCACCCGGAACCCGTTTATTAGCAACAAAGTTATCAGATGCTTCCTTATCTTTCACATCGCTCGAGGTCTGTCCAATACCGTTCCAGTTATTTTCATTTTCTCTTTTGGTGTTTCTTCAATTCTCGTCATTTTCACCACCGTTACAGTCTAACTGAATGAATAAATGTGTGCGACTACGTAATCACCGGATCCGTATGCGACATCCAACGATAAGATCGGTTAAATTTAAGTTAGATTTAATTTCCTCTAATTTGTTATTAAATTGAATTTTCTATTACATCCATATCGAACTCAGAGCCAGAAAATATATATATAGTTTTTCTCGTTTGTAATCAATATTTCCCAAAAGACTAATCTCCAGTAAATTTCAATTCCAAAATAAGTAAGTCGATTGCTTTTCTAAAAAGTTTAAATTAATCTATTTACATATTTTTTTAACAATGATACACTGGTGACCAATCAACAATAATTATCACTTACAAAAAATAAAAAGAAAGAAAAACAAGCGCGTTCATCAACCAACATTTGATACATTTATTATTTTATCACCTAAGTATCATAACTAACTCGTTAGTAACACAGAAAGAGCAAGACAGAAAAAAAACAACTCCCTAGATACATGTACTGTTTTATGTAACTATCAGCTAGAAACGTAGCAATTTTAAGACGATTAACAATATTTTGAAAAATAAACAATTGTAGTTTAAAGACAAAAAAAATATTTCTCATGGTAAACAATTTTAGAATGAATATTAATTTGAATGTAGGTATTACACCTATTTATTACGAGATAGCTCTGCTAAATGAAGAAATAATCGACCCCAATCATATAATGTAAAGTGTACACTACTTTTGTAATTATTTTAATCATAATATTAAACTATAAACTATAAATGATTTATGTCTTTTTTTTAAAGTAATCTGTAACAAACTGGTAAATGATAAGAGGTAAAGAGTTGTTTTGAAATTAAAATTTTTAGGTTGAAAAGCTGCTGGATCCGACAGTATGGCTAGATGCTGCAACGCAAGTTTTTTACTCCTTTGGTTTAGCTTTTGGTTCCATAATAGCATTTGGTTCTTACAATACTCCCAAAAATAATTGCGTTAGAGATGTTATCCTTGTATCTGTTTGCAATGCTCTTACTGCTATTTATGCAAGTGTGGTGATATTTGCTATACTTGGGTTTAAAGCAACAGAAAATGTAGAAAACTGCATAAAAAGGTAATATCTAGTTTTAGATTTTTTTATAAACTTTAACTTAATTTAATGACTTACAAGCGCCTATACCATCATCACAGCATTATCATAAAGAAATATACGATCATCTTACTACTTACCTACCCCATTAAAAATAAATAAATACAACAATGTCATTTGTTTGAGATGTGGACCTTTTGAAGAGAAACGATATTGCTCTGATTTGAAATTTAATCTGGGCAATTTATCGAGCAATTACCTTTAAAGAGCGAAAAAAAAACATGCAAAAGAAATAACTTAACTTTTTACATATTTCTATCAAGTTGGCAATAGTTACTTTAAGTATTTAAGGGTTTAATACAAATTTAAATAATGGCATGTGCTAACTTCAGCAATTTGAGCAAATCAACGATTGATTACGCTTAAAAATGGTAATGTGAGCACGGGATGAATTTTTAGATTAAGGTTTGTCTGTTTCTTGCAAATATTGGAGGATTTTTATTTTTCAATTTGCTCAGTTTGGACGTGTTTCCACCGAAAGAAGGAAGGTGGACGATGAACAGGAACACACGTTTATGCACATAAATTGAAAATAATGAGAATAAGAAACAAACAACTCGTAAGAGTGCCTGTACGTGTACATTTATTTGTGCTGGTAATGATAAAGTGTGATAACTGCATAAAGGGTACAATCAGAATTTAATGTATATTCCAAAAATGAAACGAAAAATGAAATATTCAAATTAAAAGAACGTGTCGTCGCATTATGACGCTTTTTAAGGCTATCCTATGTGCATTAAAATTAGTTTGGTTGGAGACTAGCTAAGAGGAAGTCATCGGATATTGTTAACAGAAGATGCAGCATTTCATAAGAAGGAATGTATAATGTTAGAAACATGAAGCAAGTAGGAAATAAGAAAATTTCAAGAATGTGATGGATAAGTTACAAGTTACAATTAAATATACTAATTATTAAAGACGTTTATTGACCGGAAGTGAGTAGTCGGAACGGAGATTTCAGAATAACACTGTCGTATTATAAAACACCTATTTCGCTACTTATTTATGTAATTATTTTCTCATTAATTAACACCACTATTATTAACTAATCACTCGTTCACTAATATATTTCACACTTTGTCGCTTCCTCGCTTTTCGTATTTCCCTTTTTGTCGCCTCGTTATTAGAACTTAAACTGTTCTCTTCCAATCTTGCGGCAACTATTTATACCGACTGAGGTCCCTACCGGATTTGATAGACAGGAGGGGAAATATTTAAAAGACACCCCCCGAGGGGAGGTAGTGTCGGATTTTTACCGACTAAAACCCCTCCTGGAGTGGGGAGATAAACCCTGAGGGCTACTCATCCTCGGAAAGAGAATAGAAGGTTGGGATTTGGGAGAATGTTGAGAAGGGAAAATGGTTAAGCGTGGGGTAATGGGGGGGGGGGAACCGTCGGAATATGTGGTCCACCTTGGAAGTGATGAGTAGACACTCGCGCTAAAAAGCGAAGCTAGGAGTGAGCGAAGGAGAGTGGCTCATTATAGAAGGTGATAAGGCCTTCGGAAACGGTCATTTGGCTTCGGGGCGAAGTTGGAGAGTGTTGACATAGTATGGTTTGCGTGGCCTGACACTGAGGTCCGGAGATTTGCTACGGATGAGATTGCAGCCTCAGGGAGAGAAGGTAAACCGGTTTCTTTCAGAATTTGGGTGTTTCTGACGAACCAGGGATAGTTTAGTGCGGAGCGAAGAATCCGCATGTAGGTGCCTTGCAGAAGTTTCAGACGGTGGGGAAGGGCGCAGCCCCAGACGGGAATGGCGTAGAAGCAAATGCTCCTAATTATTGCGTTAAACGCACGGATTTTCGTATGTTGGGGGATGGAGTCATTTCGAAAGAAAGGCTTGAGTGCGATGATTGCACCCATTGCCTTGTTACGGGTAGTTGCGATGTGGAGCCGCCAGTTTAGGGTCCTGTCGAAAACAACGCCTAAGTGGGTGACAGAGTTGCTCCACTTGATGGGACGGTTGCTTACTAAAATGGAGGGAGGTTTTCGGGATCTACGTGAGAAGAAAATTGCTTCTGGTTTGGTCTCGTTAGTGGAAAGTTTCCATTTTCGGTACCAGTTTAGAAGCAGGGGCAGAAACATATTAATCCTCCCTGTGCATTGGAGAATGGTTTTGGAAGAGTAGAGAGCTGTCAAAATAGAAGTGTCGGAGGGCATGTCCGCACAGAACAGGTTAAATAGAATAGGTGATAGTTTGGAGCCTTGTGGGACACCGGCTGTGACGGGTATACTGGCAGAGAGCACAGAGCCGACGCAGATCCGAAGGCTTCTGTCTGTGAAAAAGGACCTGATAACCAAAACTAGAAAATGTGGAATGTTAAGGGCGATGAGTTTTGAGATAAGGCCTTCGTGCCATTCTCGGTCGAACGCTTACTGGACATGAAGAAGAAGCATGGAGGTGTGACGCTGGTCGTTAAAGTTGTCGGAAATGTATTCAGATACGCGAAGAAGTTGGTGGTCGGTGCCGTGATGCCTGCGGAAGCCGTGTTGATAATCTAGGAGAAGGTTATTTTACTCCATGTAGTTTAAGAGTCGATCAACGAACTTAGCAGGCTGATGGGCCTGTGGCTTGAGGAAGAACTGAGGGATTTCCTTTTCTTGGGAGACAGATGGAAGTGGTGGAGCCGCATGGCGGAGTTTGTGATGTTGCACAGTGCGGTTATGTGCTTTGGTTGTAGGACTTTGAGGACTCCGTTTTCCATTCCGTCAGCGTCAGGGGCATTCCTCTTTTTCAGAGAATTTCATGGGGTGCACTGTGTCGGAAGTCGGAATTTAGGGGAACGAAGTTCTGGGAGACGGCTTTGGTACTCTCGTGAAAGTCGGCAATGTCCGCTGGACTGGATAGTTGGGAGCACTGGAGATATAAAGAGTCTGTGAAGATTGCAGCTTCTTTTTCGTCTGAGGAATAGGTGGAACCGTTCTGCTTTAGTGGCGGAAGATGGGGAGCTCTGTTACAAAGAGAACGGATAACATTCCAAGTGTTTCGGGGATGTGTTTCTGCCTGAGCGATATAATCATCGAAGGATGCGCTGCGGAATTCAGTGAGACGAGTTTTTAGTTCTCGTTGAAGGGCGTTTATTTCTGCACGGTATGCGGGGAGGCGGTGTCTATTCCACATACGCCTTGTTTTTCCTCTTAAGGAGGTCAAGAATGTCCGCGGGGAGGGTTCTGTCTTTGGTGGGCGTGGTGCGGGAAGTAGTGGAGAGCTCGATAGCGCTGGTAATCTCGTTTGAAAGGAGATTCACAGCTTCGTCAAGTTCCGCTATTGTGCGAATTGGAGTTTACTTGAATGAAGATGCTTCGGGGGTGTAACGGAGGTGTAGCCAATCTAGTGACGTGGATGTGTTTGGTGGTCCGAACTTAGTGCATCAATGACGATAGGATCGGCGGAAAGTGTAAATTTTTTTGTGACGAAAATGTCAAGGATGTCAAGAAACTGATTGTGGGGGCAGGGAGGAACGTGGGGACAAGAGATGCTTCAACTGTGAAGTTGAAGTCAAGAATTTTGGTAAGAAGGGAGGTGCCTTTGCTGTTGGTTTGTCGACAGCCCCAGGAGACGTGTTTAGCGTTGAAATCGCCGGCGACGATAGTTGGAACGCATGGGGGGAGTAGAGAGAGAATCCTAACAAGACCGGAAGTTAGCGAAACTTCGATGCCGACTGTTTTTAACGAGTTTGTGGCCAAAGAGATAGGTCTGTGCTTTAAAGAATTTCTAACAAGAATGACAACACCGTACTGCTGTTTTCACGGTCCCTGCTGTAGGAAGTTTGGGACGAAAAGTTTGATTTTTTCGGACAGGTGAATTTCGATGATGCAAGCAACACCGATTAACTTATCCTCAAGGAAGTGCTGGAGTTCGGTCAATTTACCTCTAATGCTTTGCGCATTCTAGGTAACTATGCGGAGATTGTCTGGGTGGGCGGCGTTAGACATTGGCGGTTTGTTGTAGGGAGGCGACAATGCTGGCGACCATGATTTGGACAATAACTTGAAGTTTTTGTTCCAAACTTGGGATTGCAACAACAGCTGGAGAAGTGTTTGGGTTGCGCTTTTGGGTGGGAGGAGAGGGGCAGTTCTTACTGCCTTGGCGTAGGATTTGGGGGGGCATTTCCAAGGTTGTAGTAAGAGGATCGGGGGTGGATCTTGTGCCTTGGAAGGTAACAGGATTGACGATTTTCTTGGGCGGGGAAGGAGAGGTCTTTTAGGGAACCTTGGGGCAGCCGCGGTAGGTGGCGCGGTGGTTCCCTTTACAGTTGGCACAAGTGAGAGTGGCATCCTTCTTGACCTTGGTTTTGCACTCGGTAGTTATATGGTTACGACCACAGAAAGCGCAGACCCAGGCTGCGTGGCAGTAGTTGACTGTATGAAGGAATTTCAAATAGCAGCAGCACCGAGGGAGGAACTTCCTTCGTAGCTTTTTTTGGCTCAACTTTGATGTTGAGACCACAGAGTTGACCAAGATCGAAAATTGTCTTGGAATTTGTAGCGGTCTTATCAAGACGGACGGAGACAAGGGGTCAGATTTTTTTACCTTTGGACATACGATGGATGCCTTTGATAACAAAGTCTTTGTGGCTGAGTTCGGACTTGATGTCCTCTGTTGGGATGTCTTCGCAGACACCACGGATAACGACATGAAGGTCTTTTTGGAGCTGGTTTTGATGAATTGTATGGTCACACTTTGAGGCCTGTTTGCTGGCTCGTCGATCGTACCTGGTTTTCGCACGGTCACTTTCAAATTGCAGTTTTGTACGCACAGCATTATGAATAGCTTCTAGTCGTCGTGTAGTTTACTCACATATTCGTTCCTAGATACTGGAGAGTCTCCAGGGTGACCAAACATCACGTTCCTTGACAACCTGAGTTTTTCCCAAATAAAATTCCGGCCATTATTCTTCCAGTTGTCTCATGGATGGTGGATCTAACTATGGAGAATAGCAGTAAGTGTCGATCCTAGTTAGTATGGTGCTCGTTAATGAAGCTTTCTAAATTAATTTCCAGAGTAGCGTTAAATCGTTTAGCTATCTCATTAAACTGTGGGTCTAAAACTGTAGTCCTCGTTTTAGTAATGTCAATTAGTTTACCTGTTCACAGATGCGCATTGCAGTTATACCACGTTCTCAAAAAAGATTCAATTCAATCATGACATCATCTACTATGTTGGTCACCAATATGCAACTGTAAGATTCCGTTTCCAAACTTAATTTCTCGAGCGGCATGGTCTAGAGGTTTAGACCACTGCTTAGCATTTGGGAGGACGTCGGTTCGATTCCGGGTCTGTCTGCATTGGTCCAAGTTTTTCTGTGGTTTCCTTGGATCACTTAGGAAAATGCTGGGGCAGTAATATTCCACAGATAATCTTTCATTCTGTCTTCATTTCGTCCGTCTCATCTTTTTCATCTGAACCATCACCCACCTAGTCCCACGATTCCTGAAAGGAGGCTGAAGAGGGCCTTCCGGCCTACCTTCCGGCGTAGTCCGGAGGAACTGTCCGCCCATCAACATTACTGGCTGGTGGGAATGAAACACCTAAAAGTTTTTATCCTAATTTCTACGTTACATTCTCTACAGGTTGGTGAAGTCTCTCCAATAGTTGTACTCAATCATCAGTCTTCTCGCTTCGAAAATTTTCCAATGATATATGACTTGTTAGGGTTATTCTCAGCCGATGCAACGTTCTGGAATAATTATTAAAAAAACTTCCTATTTCATATTTAACTGTCATCAACCTCATACTAAATCCCACATAATAAGACAACTTTCGCATTACTACCTGTTTTATTTTATTTATTTCTTAATAACGCTACTATTATTAATTAATACAATGCTGAAAGTGTTTTCGTTTAATCAGAATATTAAATTAGAAACAGTGGCGGATGCAAGATTTTATTTAAGAGTGGGGAACACAAACTGTGTGATTGTACTATTTGTACTGTAATATTTGTCTTGTGACATTTGAATGACGTTCAGATTCATCGTAAAGCTAAATTTAATAATAATAAAATAAATGTATGAAGAGTATGTAATAATAATAGTTAATTATAATGACATGAGGTTTGTAATCTTTATAGTTTGAAACTAAAAATTTAACTGAAATCGGAAATCTACAACAATACAATTTATTAACGAGGAACAAATCAATAGGACTGTTTAAAAGGTTATATAGATATTACTCTGGTGAGTCAGGAAATGGCACATATTGCCCCCCCTTCCTCCAATGATTAGAAATAGCAAATTTTCAAAATTTTTGGAAGGAAACAATTTATTGCAATTTGTATAGCTGTACATATTACTTGACAAATAAATTATAAGATTTTTTAGGGATGTACTCGTTCTGTGCACTCTTTGCTAGAAGTCAATTATTACCCTAATTAGATACCGTAAGTTCAATTATTTATAAAAAAAAAACGTAAAACCAAAAGTGTTGAAATATGTAAAATGACATACTTTTTATTTTGGATGTAACAATTTATTTGAAAATTATTCAAAAGTGAAACAGTCATACAGGAAAGTCACGAATTTATGTCCATCACGAAAAAAATAGTCACAATAATGAAAAGATCGGATCCAACAATAATAGAAAGTTTTCACACAGAAACTAAATACCAATCCATTCTCCATGATAATAATAAGCCTCTAACATATACGTAAGTTAAAGTCGATAGTAAACAGTAAAATATAAATAGTACTGAATGTATGTATTCATCTGTATAATTTTGTAAGGAATGCTACTTTTAAATAAGCCCATGCATTTTCAATTTATGCTAATAATAAACGCTACTTATCTGTTCAAAGGCTAAATTAAAAATGTAAGTCTTTATGTACACCTTCTTATTGCAACTCCGAGCAAATTAAATAAAAGATCTTACAGAATAGCAAAAATAAGAAGAGCTGCAAACATAGGCTCCGCCCCTGGTGGCAGATTTTCACGCTACGTCACTGAGTAAAATTGTAAATTTGAAATATGGATTCGATGTAAAATATGTCACAAATTAATAAAATAACTCCAATACAACTGGAAATGTCTGGCGCCTGGACTATGTACGAATAGTAATTTATTATCATAACTGTTCGATTTTTATACACTGTTTCAGTCTTAAGAAAAGAATATCCTACATAAATTGTTTCAATAATTTAATAGTGTTCCTTAAAAAAATGCTTTCTGATTTATTTACCTATTTACTACATACTTACAGCAACATAAAGAATATGGAAATACATGGCTTACTACCAGAAGGTGCTTCCATGGAAATGTATGAGACGGTTTTCAGTAAATTTGCAAAAGAAAATATATCAGAGTTAGGCCTAAGAGCATGTTCATTGGCTCAAGAGTTGAATGACGTAAGTATATTTAAATGCATACACACCCACAATATATGTTAAAGTGATACATTCGTTGCATGTAGGACATCATTGATGTTACAACGTAGTGCGGATGCTCTAAAAGAAATAATTCAGTTTTGATCCACTAGTTCCCCATTTACCAAGTCCTTGTTACGTATTATTCCTGTATAGCCAACTATTATTTAAGACAGTTATATATACAAATGATTATAATGTATGATATCATTTTCCTAAAAACTACGAGAGAAATAATACGCTTCAATCAGTACAGTAAACTTGTAGGTAACTGAAAACTAGTTGAGGTGTGATACTCAAATAAACCAATTCAATCCATAATCTAATCTAACGAAAACAAGTTATCCCTTTGAAAACCTATTAATAAGGTATACATCAATATTAAGCTAACTACGTAAATAAATATCCAATTAATAATGTAATTTAGTATTGAATACTGATTTATAAATTTAGAAAAGGCAAATATAGGGATGAGAAGACAATGGTGCATATTGTTACCGTTACTTCTTAATCTATATGTCGAAAATATAGTACGCACTATTAAAATTAATATATTTATTTTGAATATGATTAGATAGATATACAGACGCAAAAGATTGGCATGCTTATTTTTTATGATGATGATGTAACAGTGTTAGCATTTAGTGGGGAGAAGTTAGAGATCTCCAATGCATTGAAAATAAATAAAATAAAACAAAACATACCACAAGGTCGAGTCTCTCTTAACAAACAGAAATAACTTCTGTGTTCGTAATCGGTTAATTAAGAAATTTCAACAATGTTGTTAAAGGTATGTTTGGAGCATGACTTTGTGTAGGTGAAACCTGCACGGTAGTAGGCACTGCAGATAGGAAAAGGTTAGAAGCATTTGAAATATGGTGTTATGAGCGGACAACGAAATTGCGATAGATAGAAAAGGTAAGAAATGAGGATGTATTAGAAAGAATAGGAGAACCAAGTGCGATATGGAAGATAATAAGGAAAGGGAGAGATAGGTTCGTTAAGAGAGACTTATTTGAAGCAAAAATGAAGAGTAAAGAAATACAGAGATATACCTGGATTATATTTATGTTTTCAAGTAGTTAGAGATGTGGAATATTCTAATTTTAGTGTAAGTAGTGAGGAGATTGACTTAGAATAGGAAGGAGCGGCGATGTCTAGTTTTCGAACTGGCGACCCTACGATGAGGATGATTGAAATCTATTGTTGGCAAATCAAGAATTTTTAACGGTACAATAAAAAAACGGTTAATTGATTGCGTATTGCACTTGCTCTAATATGTTGAGTCATATCTTGTGAAAAACGAAATAAAACAGTAGGAATTTGTAAGTTGGCTAAACGGGAATAACTACCATACAAGAACTGGTCTCGTCCACTATCTCGAGAACTATGCACCTATGGAAAGAAGGTTTTAGAAGTCACGTAGGGCTACTGGACAATGACTTGAGATTTGATGTTGAATGTTATTTGAAGGTCAATCAAATACGAGGGTGGATTGATAAGTTTCCGGCCTGACCAAGAAAAACAAGGTTTTTAAAAATTTTTTTTTTTATTTCTCAACATAATCTCCTCCAAGACTGATACATTTCTCATAGCGGTGTTCCAGTCTATTAATGCCATCTCTATAGACTGATTCGTCAAGCTCCTCAAAATAACCATTTACAGCTTCGATTACTTCTTCATTGTCCGCAAATCTCTTACCACCAAGCCATTTTTTGAGATTAGGGAACAGAAAATAGTCACTCGGGGCTAGGTCTGGAGAGTAAGGAGGGTGCGGCATCAATTCAAACTTTAGATCGTTGATTTTAGCCGTCGCAACGATTGACGTGTACGCTGGTGCGTTATCGTGATGAAACAAGATTTTTTTCTTCGCCAGATGAGGTCGTTTAATTTTCACCTCGTGGCTCAAACGTTGCAATAAGTCTGCGTAGTATTGACCAGTGATAGTATTACCCTTTGCAAGGTAATCAATGTATATAATACCTCTTGCATCCCAAAAAACAGTAGCCATAACCTTGTTCGCCGAAAAAATTGTTTTTGCCTTCTTTGGAGTTGGTTCCCCTGGCCCAATCCACTGTTTAGACTGTTCTTTGGTTTCAGGAGTGTAGTGGTGGACCCACGTTTCGTCAACGGTTACGAATCGACGCAAAAATTCGCTTGGATTACGCTTATACAATGACAAATTTGCGGTAAAAATGTTTTTTCGAATCAATTTTTGGTCGACTGTTAGCAAACGCGGCACCCATCTTGCACAGAGCTTTTCCATATGCAAATGTTGGTGCAAAATATGTTGCACACGTTCATATGACATCTTACAGGTCTCAGCTATCTCACGCACTTTCAATCTGCGGTCTCCCAGCACTATTTGATGAATTTTTTCGATCATATCTGGAGTTGTGACCTCAACGGGGCGTCCTGAGCGAGGCCCATCAGAGGTGCTCACACGACCCTTTTTAAACTCGGAAACCCACTGCTTAACGGTTGAATATGACGGGGAGGATGTCCCCAGTGTTGAGTCCATCTCTTTTTTAATTTCCTTCGGCGTTAACCCCTTCAAATAAAAGTATTTGATGACAGCACGATTTTCCTGCTTTTCCATTTTTACGAAAACCACAGAGGCGTCTTGTTCAGCGTGCTGTCAAACCTACACTAGCAAGGAGATCGGGCTGAAACTATAGCTACAAGCTATCCAAGGATGGTACTATAGAATGTCACCTCAAGGTAGGCCTAGTGGCGTCATCTCTTGGTTAGGCCGGAAACTTATCAATCCACCCTCGTATAATGAAAGATTTGACGATATTCATGATATTCATAAAATCTTTTTAGGAATGACTTACGAACATAAGTGAATAACTAGGCTCGGTTACCTATAAGATTGCCTGAAATGAAAAGAAAGATACTAAGTAGGTACTTAACGACCACTTATGCTTTCATGATATCAAATTCAGTGTCAAAATTAAGTCTAAACGTGAAGGCCTAGTTCAGGATGACAATTTGAAAAGTTTACCTATGACCTAAACACCTAGATAATTCGGAATACGATCATTTTTACCTTAGGTTCAAGCCACAACCTAACAGTTTGCTTTCATTCAAAATGTGGGGTAAAATAATAGTTGCATCTATTAAAAAAATCGCCATTTGACCTTCAAATAGTCGGAAAAATAACAATTAAGTTCAAAAACAAGAGCACTGTCCTTCTCAAATCATCTATGCCACAGTGATAAATCCCATGAAAGTGGACCGCGTTTCTTTTTTAATACTCCTTTTCACATTCATTTCACCTTGAAGAAGTCACGAAAGTTGATAATAGATTGTTAACTTAAAGCTCAATGTATTCTCAAACCATCCAATAAATTCAATATTTTTTAAAAACCATACAGTTAATTTGAATTTCTTTAAGTTGGTATCTGGTTATTTGCAGGAACACCCTATATGTTAAATTAATTAAATAACTGCATGCAAATGTTTATCAATCAATAAAAGTTGTTTTACTTCATAACTACATCATTTACAAGTTAAAATGATGGCTATATTATTATAATTTGAAGATTATCAAGTAAAATCTAATTTTTTTAGTTTAAGTAATGCATTATTGTTTTAGGCTGCCGAAGGAACTGGACTGGCATTTATTGTTTTTACAGAAGCTATTGTTAGTCTTCCCGGTTCGCCGTTTTGGGCAGTAATTTTCTTTATGATGTTACTTTCTTTGGGTATTGGATCTCAAATAGGGATATTGGAAGGAATGCTGTGTACTATTTTTGATATTGAAATATTTAAGAGAATTAAAAAGCAGTATGTTACAGGTAACGCAGTAATTTTTTTCAATTATAAATACAAACCTGACTGTAGATTGTTTCGTAAGGACTAATTAAAAACATTGAAACTGTATAGGAAAACTGTAATTATAAAATATCAGTAGTTAATTAAGCTTGCATTTAAATTATCACTGTGTTTGCATTGAATTTATGAGGACAGACAAATGGGGTATTTACTTGCCAGATTCTTTAATTTGTATATTTATTAAATATGATCTCCTGACCATATTGGCAAAGGCTTTCGTGGCCATTAGGTGAACGGATGCAGAAAAACTAGTCAGGGACGACGCGACAGGGCAAATGTCGATCCCGGAACAGGATGCTCCAGGTTTAGTTGCACTGACGATAAAAAACCGAGCTGAGAGTTCTTTTCTTACGAGATGCATAAATGGCAAACAATGTTCGTTTCTGCTGAAAATTGGAACAAGCAGAACAATTGTAAAATCCGGAATATTGATTATGCCTGGTACGTTTTTGCCAACCCATAGAAAGGTACGTATCTCCACTGGAGAGCTTGTAGTTGTGTATGGTGAAAATTATACCAGCATAAAAATAGGCAAAACTTCTTTTCAACGCTTTACATTGCTTGCGGAAAAACAAGACTGTGTATTGTTTGGCCTGTATGTTCTCCGGAATATAACTTTTGCCTGAGTCTTCAGAGAAATGTCTTGACGCTGAATGGGGAAACGTTCGAACTTAATGCACAAAACACAGCTGTTCCGCAAGTTAAAAGGGTAAGCTCGGCAATGGGCAAAGTTCAACTAATTCCGGAAGTTTTTTTGCGAATGATCAACAAAGCCAATGAGAAGTGCAACGCAACTGAGCATAAACTAGTAAATTAACTGGAACAGTACCAAGATATTTTCAAATTGGAGAATGGCAAGAAGGGGCGAACCAATGTCGTTGTCCGAAAAATTACAAATGCGGAGTGCAAGCTGATCATGAAGGGATATACAAAAAGGATGGAGTAATAGAACCATCAACCAGCCCTTAGACGTTGCCGGTAGTTGTGGTTATTAAAGATGGATCAATATAATTAGTCGATAGTATGGTGAATCGAATTACGAGCCAGAAGCTCACTGACATTTGTTGCTGAGGTCTGTCGCCATGCAGCATTCATCATAATTAACGCATTTTCAGATTCACCGGCATACGGTACATATTCTCTTTCATGCAGGATTATAATTGCAAAGAAAAGTATTTCACAAGGTGTGTCACATGCATATATAATCATGATTACCTTCATTTTACTTGACGGCAGTGAGAACAATGTAACCCACAACTCTGGAGCGTAGCTTTACCGTATTTAAGTTAAAATTGTCAGTCAGTATATAGTATCTGATCAGTACTACGAAAAAATTAAGGGAGCATTAGGCACATGAAAGCGAAATGGAATGAACCATCTTACACCACCGAATGATATACATAAATATGAGGGTAATGACCCTAGCGCAAGTCCTAAAACCTCCTGCAATGATGACTAGGATTACTTGAATTGTGTAACGCGGTGGCGCTACATGCGGTTGTGGAGTTCCGTACATGAACACGGACAAGGAAGGAATGCAGTGCTGGTTACTTCATACGCCGACGGTAACGGTACAATTTGCAAAGGTACATCCTGGTAGGTGTGGTGTGTCAAACATGGTCACAGTAATGGCGTATTTTGATAACAGTACTAATGCAGTGAATTTTCCCTTAAAATCCTCCACGTCGTATAACGCGTAATTCCTGTATAACGTTTAATGACTTGGATACTCACATCGGAATTGACTTCTATTGATCACACGATTTCGTCAGTACCGACTTGTAGTACCACATTTACTGTGTAATGTCGTCAGTACACTTTCATTGTACCGTCCATATGTGGCCATTATGTGCCTATATTCTGTGTCCGAATACATTGTTTTTTGCTTGATATTTTCAAAATAAACTTATTTTTGTATTTTGTGGTAAGTGCAGTAACTTTACGAATAAAACGATAACCACCGCGTGGTTATTACGTGTAATTGGCCTATCTATGTACCAGCCGCTGCGAAGGTCACGAGTAAGTACGTGTGTTTTGTTATTTGACGCCTGCCATAAGGATGGGAGAAAGGATAACGCGACCACCAACCTTTCGAGTGTTCTCAACTATTGACGGCTCATTAAATGGGGTACTTTTTGGCACAGTTTTTACACACCCTACGTTGCAGCGCTATCACAAGATGTACTCCAGAGCAGCGGTTCCCAATTTTTTTTGGCTACGGAATCTTTTTTGACTCACCTTAGACTAGACCATGCTGCTTGGCAATGAAAACATCATTTTTATATCGTACTTAGGAGTAGTAATTATTATGAAAAGTAGGTATAGACAAAGGTTATGTAGGTACATATCGATATTCTGAACTTGCAAATCATAACGCCTTGGCAAGATTCACATACTAAAAATGGATAAAGACAGGGAATTAATGGAGAATCACTTCGTCTAATGTAGAATACCTTGTTTGTTTCTGCTACCTATTACGTATATTTTATACCGTTAGTGGAAATATTAATCCTTTATCGCCATCATTGCCAGTATCAGAATCGCTTCATTCTTTGGAAATATATATCTTTAAAGCAAGATTAAAGTAAGAAATTAGTGGAAGAGAACTAATTCCGATATTGAATGGAATTAGGTTTCTATAATAATAGATAATGAAATTGCTGGTATTCAACTTCCGGAATTTCATCTTCTGTACAACGAAGCTTGCAGCTTAATGTCTTCTTTGTCTTCGGCCTTATCCACCAGTGAAATGTTGCTGCAGGTTCTTTTACAGTTAAGGCACAAACTGGAGCAGCGGAGTCTTGCGTATAACCACAATTTCGCTGCAATTCTTTATGTCCATGAATGACACCAACATTAATAACGCAGGAGGAACAGTAGTTAGGAGCTAGGCCTGATTTCATGTGCTTCCATCCCCACACTGCAGGGTCTTTTCCTACCCTGACTCCTTATTGGACTTGATGGTAGATTCTGTAGATAATGGTAGAGCAGCTATGTTGTAACTGGACCTGTAGGCTGACTTACTGTAGAAAATGCACTTGAGGTGGTCGAGTGTAGGCAAATTTTTCCCACTGTAGCCGTACAGGCATACAAGGAGTAGGAAGCTGATTCGTTGAGTTTGTAAAGGCGCTTGCAAGACTGGGGTTATTGGCAAGGGTTATAAGAAATTTAGACTTGCGAAGGATAGTTTCCCTGTTCGCGTATTGTATAAAAGAAAAAATCTGTAAATATATAAAATGTAGAAAGAATTATCCTTTTTTATTTCGAATAAAATTAATTTTCACGTAAAACAAAAAAAAAATTGTTGGTTGGTAAACTACGTGTTTACTAGCCCAAAATACTACATAGTACCAAAAACGAAAACTACAACACAAGACTGTAGTCGTTATTGTTAGATTGCACTTGCTAGGTATGTTTCTTCGTTAAATTTCTTGATGTTGTTGATGCAGTTTCAAAGTTTTAAGAATATTTCTGTTTTTGTATAGAATAATTAAGTACGAATGCAAGTAAAAAGCAAGTGAAAGTTATGAAGGTAATATTAATTTCTACAATTTTTCAGGTGTTGTCTGCCTAATATGTTTTGTAATGGGATTGTTATTTACAACTGGTGCTGGAGAATACTGGCTGAAACTTTTCGATTCGTTTGCTGGAACGATCGGTCTAGTTGTAGTTGCCCTGATGGAAATGATTGCAGTGATATTTGTGTATGGTCACGAAAAGTTTACGAAGGATATCTATGAGATGACTGGATATCGTGCAGGATGGTTTTGGCAATTCTGCTGGAGATTTTTGGCACCTGCAATTATGGTTATAATTCTTGTGTCATCAATTGTCTTCATGATTATCAAAAATCCAACTTACCAAGCATGGAACCCTGATCTGGTAAGAACATGTATTATAAGGAAACTAAAGTACTTTGTGAATGTTGTTTTTTAATTCTCTTGTCTAAGAATTTAGTACATACAGGTACCTATACTTAATAAATATTGAAACTAGGATATTTTCTTAGTTGTTTGAGAAATATACAAAATGAAACATTATGTATAGAGCAATGAGACACTGTTCAAAAAATTAATCCCTTAATGCATTATGTGTAGAATATAGAAGGATAACAATAGGTTAATTTAATCTGGAACAACATAAAAAAAGGAAACCACATATGTTTTTAATTTCAATCCGGTTGTATCATTAAAAATTAATAATGTTGGTATTATTATCGGGAAATATATAATGAAGACAGAAATAGTTATAGCCGTTACTATGTCCTGTCTACTGAAATTGGGTTACGCATGTTTGCTTTCTACTGTACCCTACAGTTCTCAATATAATATATCTACTCATTAAATATTTCGATAACAGTACGAATACAGGGAATTCTCCCTTAAAATCCTCCACATCGTATAACGCGGAATTCCTATATGGCGTGCAATGACTTGGATACTCACGTCGGGATTGTCTTCTGTTGATCGCACAACGATTTCGTTAGTACCCACATGTCGTACTTGAAATTGGGCTAAGCTTGTTTGCTTCTTACTGTACTCTATAGTTCTCAAGGAATATTCATTGCACGATAATATACCTAATCATTAAATTTTTAAGAAATTTTGTTAAAAATTGTTAACCGGTATGCGGTTTCATGATTTTTAGGTATATGTGACAGTCTCAGAATAGTGACCTATATCATTCCACGTGTCGTTTGCCACCTGGCAAATACGGGGTATGATATAGTTTACATTCACACTGATGTCACATACGTGCCGGAAGTTTAAACGTGCATTCACATGTAGAGTATACATAACCAGTTTCTTTTAATCTTTGTACTGCATTAATCTGCCGTTCCGAAAGCCATTATAACAACTACTGTACTACAGTGACCTATGATAGTGACACACTAATTTACCACCAATGACTTCGACTGATTACATACATATATACAGATCCACAATGTTAACAGAACAAAGAATTACTATAGGCTGATTGTAACTTAAACATCGTCAATACACTCAATTGTATCTAACAAAAAACAAACAATGCGTGAGTACAAAAATATAAAGGAAATACGGATAACGGATACTTTTAATAATCAGTTGATTGAATGTGACGTTACACTGTCGTATTTCCCTGGATGATTCTAATAGGGCCGGACTGACCCTTGTCTGTATTCTATATAGTTTTGATCAAAAACGGTGAACTTTCGGTTTGATCATTTATTTAATTGTAATGTTTTGTAGTGCACTGTCATATTCTGCAAGCGTGCTACTGATTTCAGAGACACCCAGTATGTGTAATTTATGGCTTTTAAATCTTCCTTTCATCTTCCTTGTCTGTCGATACTTTTCTCTTTCGATTACTGCTGCATACCTGTTCAATTTCAAAAACATAGTTATTCTTTTCTTCCAGTGAACGCAGTACACATGTATGGCACTTTCCACCATTTTTATTAGGTATTTATTTCCCAAGTAGCCACGTTGTATTTTTCCTGTAATTCCTCAAGTAACCAAGTTTATAAATTTGTTAAGCAACCACTTTCGTCTTAAATTCTTGAGTAACCACGTTTACTTTAATTTATGAATAATCTTCAGCAACCACGCTCTGCTACCATGTTGGTATTATTTCTTTAACGTTTCAGGAAGATAAAGGCTTCTTCAACAGTAAATTACTCACTTATATAATATCAATAATGTTGTGCAACCTTTCTTACTTCCAAACGGAACATAAAGGCAAAATATAACTTTAATTTACGGATTTGCAAAACAAATAAATTACGATTTGTACTTCTGATACTTGACGTTGGTATTCGGTCTTAGTACATACAACACAACCACAGATGGGGCCCCACCATCTTTATATAGAATAAATGTACAATATATTCAATATAATTAATTAAATTTTTACATATTCCTATGTAATTAAATTGACTAGTTAAGTATGTTTTATTCTGTATACAATATATACTTCATAACTATTACTGAATTGAAGTTTATATGCCATTGGTGCGACTGTTGCCGATTCACAAATTAAATAATTTATAATTAAAACAAGGCAAAGTTCTTATTAATTTACAAAAAAAATATTTGATTGAAGAATTTTAAATAGTAATCTCAATGTTTCAATAATTAATCGAATAAGCAAGTTATGAATTTTATTTGGGATACATATTTTCTTATTCAAACAAATATATCTACCTATTTTCTATATTATTCGCGGAAATATTTACTTGGATTGTATGAGCTAGAAAACGATTTGAGCCAAGTATTTTGTATTGACTGAGGGATTTTTTCTCTCGTCGTAAACGTAATGATTACTATAACGTTCCTTGAATACAATCGCATATTTAAGTTGAAGTGGCTCTTTACGCATTATTTGACGTCATATTTTGACCGAGTTTTTCTGAAATGTGTGAACAATACAATGTTAATGCGTTATTTTGAAAATAATTTTTGAGAAACAAAAACACTTGTTTGCGTGGAAGTACAAAAATAAATGTAGAAAATTATTGACAGGATAAAACAATATATTAAAAAAACGTTTACTAAAATGCATTTAGTAAACTCCGCGAAATTATGGGGAAAACAAACAAAATGAGACAGTTGCAATACTATTAAGACTGTTTTAGTAAGGAACAGAAAGGTAACTTTTTTTATGAATGTCAAATTGGAGTAGAAGATTATTATAACCAACCAATTTTATTAATTTGAACCAAGTGTAATGTTTAATAAATATATGTATAATATTCAATGATGTTGTGTACATTCTATATGAATGACTTCGCCTGAATTATAGAAGACTGTCTAGCATTATATAGGGCGTAACAGAAATAAGTGCGGAGTTCTAGAAGGTGTAAACTAGATGCAACAAGCAATCGCTCGGTGAATTCAGCAGCATGGTTGAAAGCAATATTTTTTTTTTTAAGAAAACCACCCTTGTCGTTTATGTGAAAAGATCGTGCGAAATGAGAGAGAACCCAAACAGGTATTATTTGTTAAAAATTTAATTTACTGTTCTAAAACCCCTAAAACCAACAATTATGTTAACGATGACCGCGATAGCTTGAATCGGTTTAGTTTACTGGTTTATTAATTAGTTCTACTCCTGTTTCAATTTCAAAATTGGTCATTTATGAATATAGCAAGAAAAGTAATCTTGTCATGCATTGAAAAATTCATTGTCTGTTTAAAAGTATATTTAGTAATATCCTAATAAAGACAGTGTATCGCCATCTAGTGGGTGTGGGTAGTATTTGGTGCTATTGAAGACAAGACCTTACCAAAGTATTTCAACTTGTCTAACTGAATCGTGTGGTAGTTTCGATAAATTTCTGACCAAGAACTTAAGTGTTCTTAGTTCTTATATTTAGTAATGCTTAACATGGACACTTCTACAGTCAATGTTAAAACGTGTTTGCGGGGATCTAGATCGATGTTAACGTTCGTGTTAGGATCACATGTAGGTACCTATTCTTTGTCTGACTGAAGTGCTTTCATGCTAAGTCGTCGAGTTATTTATGATATTTTTAAATATAAATGATTGTTGTAATATACTGAAGTATACACGTGGTAAAATTGATACTGACAATAAGAAAGTTCATGTAACCTTAAATCTTTTTTCTTTATGAAAAAGGTCTTGAATATTTCAATTTCAAAACATACACATTCTTTAATAGCAACTGAACTTTTGTATGTAAGAACAACTAGTTATAACAGAATATGAGTTGTAACTAATAATGCCTATTTATTGAGTAATATTTTATTTTAATTTTAAGGGTATAACTCAAAAGACTAGTTATCCAGGATGGGTGTTGGCAATTGCAATATCTATGATTGTGGCAGGTATTCTTCCTATTCCACTCGTATTTTTACTGCGAAGGTATCAATGTCTCAAAGTAGATATAAATATTCATGAAGGCTCAATTAGGCGCATCGACACTACAGTTTCAACGAAGGAGATGATGACAGATGTAGACGTAAGTTAAAATTTTTGCTTTTGATAGTATATTGTTAGAAAATTACTATTTACATATAAATTAATATTTAATATTGAAAGTAACCTAACCTAACCTAATCCAATAGCCATACTTTCATAAGTTTATTTAATCAACTAGGAACAGATCATGAGCCCAGATGATCTCGATGATACTACTACTTCCAATACACTCAAAAATAAGTTTACAATAGGAGATTTTGAAGTGTAATTGTAAGTAAAACTCCAAGTGCATACACTTCAGTAGCATGGGGTATAATTGTAGATTAAAGACGTTTTTGATTAAATTGGATAAGCTGCATGTTTTTGTAGTATCTAAACAGGCATGCTGTTGTTTTACGTTATCGAATAGTTTTGTTTTTAATTTTGAATTGAAAAAGCATTAGCATTTTAATATTGGTGTGAGAAATTCTAATAGGTAAGAGATTTACGTATTTTATTTAATCCGTACATTCGAACCAGTCAAAAACCATTTGCATTTTTGACATTATTCGAGTGCTGTGGACGAATAGATTCAACCCGCTTGCCCGTGCTAGCATCGCCACGCAGGTTACTCAACCGGGTGTCATCCTTGATGACCTAGCGAAGACCGCCGATTGTTGACATACAACAGGTGCTTGCTTGATCACAAAATGAGTGTGTGTTTTACTGGGCAGCAATTGAAGTGAGCTATGGATGCCGGCGTAAAAACGTTCACTGGCAGTTTGTGATATCACGAGCTTCTCCTGCAATTCCCAGGGATTACTCCCCAAAGTGCATGTAAAACGGATAGCGTTAAGCACTCGACAGTGCACCACATACATACAATTCTCAGTTAGCCTATCGCAGAGAGTAGCTGGGCCTCTTTCCTCTACAGGTGCCAAAGGTCACGAGTGTCGTGTCCCTGTGGAGACTGTCGTACGCTAAACGCCCGCACGAATCCAGACCGCTACTCAGCGCGCTACATCCAGGACCCAAACGTTGAGTGGAAAAAATGTCTCCTCCTTGTTCCCGTGCCTCCAGAGGATGTTTGGAAGACGGCTATCATCACGCCGTTTGGGATGTTTGGATTCTCATTTATGAGCTTTCGTCTGCGTAACGCCGCACAGACATTCCGACGTTTTATAAAAAAGAGAGAGGGGATTGGATTTCGTACACATTTACATTGACGATTTTCTTATGGCTTCAGTGACGATGAGCATGAAAAGCACTTCCGGTTGCTTTTCGAAAGTCTCCAGCAGTCCGGAGTCGTTATCCGTTTCACTAAATGTTGTTTTGGTGCTTCTAAGGTTGTTTCTGGGACAATTGGTGTCAGAAAGAAGAACACAGCTACTTGCAGAGAAAGACTATCCCTTTCATTCATACCCGAGGCTCACAACTGCGAAAGAGCTCCGACAGTTTCTCGGCATGACAAATTTTTACCGTCAATTCATGCGCAAGACTGCTCCGAACCGCTCAATTACCTACTCAAGAGCAACATCAAAGGAAAGACGCCAGTCAGATGAAAATACGCAGCTGAGGATGCTTTTATTGCATGCAAGAAAACACTAGCTAATCCGACGCTTAAAGGACGCTACTTCACCATCCTGACAGACCACAAACCGCTCACGTTCGCTTTCCGTCAGATGTCCGAAAAGTGTTCTCCACAGCAGTTATACCATCTTGATTTCATCGGATAATTCACCACCGACATCCAGCATATCTCTGGTAGGGACAATTTTGTAGCAGATGCATTTAAACGGGTTGATGCGATCGTCACGCCACTTAACTTTGAGGAATTCGCGGCGACCCAACAACAAGACCAAGAGCTACAGGAACTTCGTCAGCGAAAGACTGTGACCTGATTCTGAGGCAAGTGGCCATCCAAGGTTCCAACGCTCCCATATTTTGTGATATTTCTACATTGATGGTACGTCCTTTCCTTAAGGCCGCCTTCCGTAGCCTTTGATGCGATCCATGGGCTCTCTCACTCTGTAGTCAGGTCAACCACCGAAACTCGTGAAGTAACGCTACGTTTGGCCCTTTATCAGCAGAGACCGTCGCACTTGGGCTCGCGCTTGTATCCAGTGTCAATAGGCCATCCAGACGCTTTAAACATATTCAATCGACCTCATCGTCATGTCTTATTCCGAGGGTTAGAGGTATTGTCTTACTTGCGTTGACCGCTTCTCCCTGTGACCAAAAGCGATATCTCTTCAGGAACAGCCAGGGCGTTCTGTACCCACTGGGTTGTCCGTTTTGGTGTTCCTCTCCGACTGACCACAAATCAACGCCGCTAGTTGAAGTCCTACTTGTTCCAATAAATGAACAGATCTAGTCTATCGATCGGTCGGTGAGTGTTAAAAGGGTTGGAAAACTGAGATTGCCGCAGTGTGTAGCCTGTCTTGTTTTCCGCTTGCACGTGTTTCGAAGTTACACGATATTACCTTCTTAATTTTTCCTGTTTCGTTTTCGTTTTACTCTTACGTTTATTTTAATTGTTATCTATTTGCTTGTTAGTGATTGTTGTTAATAAATTAATTTATTCCTTTTGAATGCGGAGTTTATTTAGTACGATTAGTTTCCCCGTCACAGTCTCGACAAGTTCTTAACGATTTATGTGTTTTAGGCAAAAAATTTGTAAAGAATATGTTTTTCCCTGGACCTTAATAAAAATTTTCAAAAGTATCCGAACCCTTCATAAAATTACCTGCCGATTCCTGCCTTATAGGATAAGAGGATAACCGTAGACAGTCATTTGATTAGTTTTGCGGTAGTCTATCCTTATTATATATTTTTGTTTGGCGCTTGCATTAACGATGACGTTTTCTTCAATAAGTTTTCAATTTGTTGTTTAAAATTTTCCTTAAATGATATGAATATCTTTCAACGTATATCATTGTTTTGATGTTTCGTTTAGTTCTTATAGGAAACTCTGATTAATGTCCGCGAAATACTCCTTTTGATCGAAGCATCTGTAGTCTTTACTGGTATATATTGAAGTTCATTGAATGTGTAGCTTGTTTCTTGGTTCCATAAAGGGTGATTGATGTATGTAACTTGTTTAAATTAATACTGACTGATAGTAATAAAGCATTGTTTCATTCTTCATTAGCATAAATAATGTATTAAAATATATCTCTTCATTTTCTTTATTTTTAGATTAATTGTATCATTTATTTGATCGTCCAAATATGCGAGATTTTTAATACGGTTAAAAAGAGTGATAAATTTGCGGAAGGCGATTAGCATCTATCACGTCTTCAGGTCGATAGTGGCAATCATCGTAAAACAACCTCTTCCTTTATAATTTCCTCATCTACATATATCTTCCGTTTATTCTCACAATTGTAAATCAATAGCAATTGATAAAATTCTACATTCTGTGGGGTCATTAATTTCGATTCGTCGACGTTAACTTCTAGTATATAGCTTCTTCTCTTTGTAGTCACAAAATGAAAATTGAGGCCTTTTTTGTGGCGAAGGTACTTTTTTGGTTTTTACAAACTTCTGCATTAGTAGGAAAATAATTTTTAATTGAACTGGTACCTATTGTATGGTTTCTGTTTAAAACCTTGATGTATTTTATATTTGAGGAAAGAAGTAATTTTTTGGTAGGGGAGCCTGACGACGTTCTATCGGTCATCAGTTTCGGTTAATTAATGTACTAAGTACTAAATAACGTTGTTCGTATGTTAGACATTTATTAGAGATGTCTTTAACTGATGAAGGATGAGTTTAGAACAGGTAACTTCTAAATGGTTTGTTAAAATTTTATTAAAAATATAAGCAAAGCTTGATCTATCGTATCATTGTACCATTTTTTAATTACTTTTTAATCGTCTCTAAATAATAGATGGCATGATTTACCACACTATTTAACTTTACTCTTAACTTTAGATCTTTGTAGAATTGAAGGTAGGTAATTCAATTACACTCAAGAGTTTATTTATTCGCTTTATTAAAATCGGGCGTGTAATAAGGCCCAAGAACTGTTTGAGCATACCTTCAGCTTCACCACGTAAGTTAACCTTTAATATGTTCAATAATATTAGAATTTGCTGGTGGTCCTGCATTTATATAGCAAGGTAGAACAATGTATTAGTGAATTAATTTTACCCACTACAGATAACCTCAAACAAATGAGGAAAAAATGTTGCTGCTGTCACTTCCTTGCCGCCGAGAATCGAACTCGGGCCCCTGGTTTTACGCACCAGTACCTAATCTATCACTAACCTAGAAGGAGATCACAGTAGCTACACGGAGAGTATAGGTCGCAGAATCATCGAACTAATGGATAGTCATTATTATTAATGAGATACTTTGAATTTTTGTAGCGTGAATTCACGTACCGTGACAGCAGTAACAATTTTTCTTCATTAATTTTAGGTTATCTACAATGGGTAAAATTAATTCAAAAATAAATTCACTAATACCTGAATTAACGCTACAAAAATTCAAAGTATTTCAAGGTAACGTAATTTCACAATATGACAAAGTGATTGACAGTAATTGATGGAGTTCTCAGATAAAGAAATCGTTTCTTGACTAGAGAATGGTTAAAATGCATGTTGATAATCTACATGGAACAAGATTCAATTTTATTTTTGAACTAGGGGGGTAAATTTAGGAATTTTCTTGTTTCGTAATACTTCAAAAAAAGAAAAATGTGAGATGTGATACTCGCCTTAAGATCAAAGAAGAAGCTATCTTTTCGGTTTGATTTTAAGAATAATCGCAGCAAATGGTCATTTCTAATGATGCAGATGCAGGTAGTTCAACTACCAAATGTAGGTAGGGTTGGGGAGTTGAATTTTAACACTGGCCTTTGGTTCAAACTAGTTTCAATTTTTAATTTCCGACTGTTATTGTAATAAAGGTACGTCTAAAAGTTCAATTGATAACCTTGAAAACTTGTTAACGTTTAACCACTTGAAAAAGTCAGTGAAGTAATACAAATATTATCGATTACAGAATGCTATAGTCGTTCTTTGTTTGTTGTTATTCGGATTGATTATTTGTTTCCATTAATTAAAAATCGATGTCATCAATTATTTTTATTTTAATATCCTTGAACACGTATCAAAATCAATTTTACTTTGTGCGTTAAATGAAAAAGAAAACGATGATGTTCAATAATTTGATTAATACTTATACATAATTCTTCATTTAATTCCTACTTTCGTTTATAATGGACTTGTCATAAAGGTGTTACAAAAAGTTAAGTAAATATTGTGTACTGAACTTTTAATCTACCTATGTGCAATTTGAGCCATTATAATTAGATATTAAAATGGTAAAGCATGTTGTACTTTGTTCTGATTTGTTATTATGATGTTAGAACTAGTTAGGAATGTGTAAACCAAAGCTTGCAGCTTCGAAAATCTTGTGCTCGCTGCGTAGTCCGTGAAAATCTGCAGTATGCAGCTTTTTCAGTTGTTCCTTTATACCTAAGTAATCAATTGTTTGTTTATGGATATTAATCGTTCTTAGCATATTTAAAGTGCATTAAGTATGTAACAATTTAAACCTAACTACAGTTCTGTGTTTATGATTGTTTTCAAGATACGGAAATTTTGTTCTTCCAGAAAATGAATATTTTAATTTGGTTCTTATTTTGGTTTAGCTGTTCAACCTACGGGAAGTGTAATGAAAAATTAAGTTGTAGTCATAATATGCTTTCATTTAAATACAAAACGAAGTCAGTAGACCCAATAATTCTCTTTCAATCACAGAAAAAAGAACTAAAAATGAAAATTGTATTTTTCAAGAAATAAACTCTAGCTTATGGAAATAGTTGGAGAAGGGCTTTGTCTAGCAGTGGCTGATACGTATGATAACGAGTCCATATAGATAGGTACTTTCAAAACCAATAGGTATGTAAGTATTCAGCAGTTGAAAAATACATGCATATTTACATGTATGTCTCTTATTAAAACACTTACTAATCAATAATTAAAGACGTTGAATGTTTTGTTGCAAATATGACAAAAATTGTTATAACGACAAATATTGAGAAATGAACAGAAGTGACTAATTGAAATAAGATGCAAATTATCATTAACGAGAATTACACAGCCAGCTCAGGTTTCTTGAAGATGCAATGAGGTTCACACGACGCCCTGCGATTTTAGTCCTTTTTTATATATCTACGATTCTAAAGTTTGTCACTCTCACTACTGCTGTAATCTACACCTACTCGAATTATAATTGGCTTAAGAACAGCATCAGCCTGGAAAATCTAACTGCCACATATTTCGTTCTTCTTTTAAAACATGCTCAAAAGCTTTCTGTCAGTTAAAAGATCTGTCGTAACATCTAGTAGATGTTGCACTTCGGCCATTTTAAGTGTAGTATTATGCCTTTCTACATATCCCTTTGCCTGTACCCCTATTAGTTCTATGAAATTGAGGTTGCAGTGGTAAGGAGGTAATCTAAGAACAGTAATTCTTCGTCTGCAGGCCATTCCATCTACAACCTGCTGCACATAATTTGGTCGAAATTGCTTTACTAAGGGTACCAGTTCCACTTTGATGGCTTTATTGTGGAATAATATTCCTTTTTCTTGTTGAATTTCAACTTTTCGACTTATTGTAGTCGAAATTGCTTCACTTCTACGGCTATGGTTATAATGGATAATGTCCGGTACCGTGCATTATCCATTATAATAATGAAATTCTCCTCCACAAGTTGAACACTGTCTAGCTATTGTTCAAAACGATCCGCATTCATGTCTTCGTTATAATCGCAATTTTTTTTTTAAATATTAGGCTACTGTCTTGAAGTAAACTATTATTGCTGCCTATGAGGGTCCCAATCAATCGATAATCATTTCCCGTTGGACCTCAGAAGCCGATTACTATGTCCTCCAAAATAGCAAAATTGCTTATCGGCTACTTTTAACTATAGTATCCGTTCACACTTTTTCGACAGTATGTCCAGAATCTACCCACATCTTATTCAAGTAGCTTGCCACTTGCTTTTTGATTATGTTTTGAATATCGAAAGTCGAGTTTATGTAATAACAGAGAACATTCTATATATACTCTGACGAGGAGCAGCCCCATTTATATATTGATTTATATAGAGCATATCGCGTTGAATACAGACTCGCGTCACTATTTACAATTCAACCGAATCTTCGCTAGGTCAATTTTTCTTGTGATGGTAATTTATTACTAATTTGTTGCAGAACACAAGATGATGCATTTTAAGTACAACTCATGAAATTAATGACATCAAGATCTTTTCTGAGTTAACGTAGCTATATTATTATCGGTATATGATAAACATGTATAAACTAATTCATTTGGCTGCTACATATTGATAATTTTCTGTAAATGTAGTAAGATGTAGATACAACGAAGTGTTTTAGTCAATATGAAAGCTAGCTGCACCGTTATTTGATTCTTGCAACACGAATAAATTCTCCAGAATTAAAAGAACCATAAAGTATTATATTGTTGTTTTGTTTTAAGGTTGTAATGAATATTATTACTTCTAAATTAAATAAATTATGTTTTGAGGTCGGCAATGTATTTATATCACATACCAAAGCTTAATTTTGTTGATTTACTTTTTATATAGATAAATCACTTTGCGTAATCGGTAATCATGTTATTGCAGAATGGTATTCTTTTATCTTGGAGCCATTGTTAAATATCTTTCTAATTTGTAGTGAGAATTGCTTTATTTCTACGACTGTGGTACGGGGCATTTTCCATACACGAATAATTCCTGGTTTTGTTAAAGATATCAGGCTGAAGGAAAAGCATTATCGCTGTCTATATGGGTCATAATCAATTGTTGTCCATTTCCGGTTGGACCTCGGAAGCCGGTTGATACGCCCTCCAAAATAGCTTGTCGGGTGATACCAGGGGATATTTAATATATACAATTGTAGCACGAGATTTGTTAGGATCAAAAGACTAACGCAAATAATCACACCTGTAACATTTCCTTTACTAAGTCTGATGTACGTATACCCAATTGTAGTTTGTACAAAAATTTATTAAATGTACTCTGGACAATTTACTTTTTAATTACCGAACTGGAAACCTCATAATTTGAAGCAAAGCGAGCGGTAAGCATGTACAGGATTTTTCACGTAACAGTTGCAGGCAAATATTTGCGAAGGAATTTTCAATAGTCAAAAATCTCGAAACGTAATGATTAGTATTATACCATAGACAGCAGCCACGAAAGCTTATACTCGTTTATATAATACTAGCGACCCGTCCCAGCTTCGCACGGGTGCAATGCTGATACTAAATATGTAAATTTTTATTTTTGTTTAGATTATTATCGAGAAGGGGAAATCTTCAAAATATACCCCCTGACCATACTAAATATACTACAGAATGTCTTTAAATACAACATTCACAGTTTTTTTGTCATTAGACAATACAAACCGGCCTCCCGGCCGATACCGCCGCAACCGCTATGTCCCTGCATTTTAAATCTGTAATATTTAAGGTACTTAATTGGATAATAATTAATGCTGTATTGCTTACAATCGCTTCGTAAATAAGTTAATGGTTAATGTGGGTTATCTCTAAGTGATGGACATATACCATCGCGGACTTTTTTGTAGACCCTTTTAAGATGTACAATATTGTGGTACATTATTTTGATCTATTTGGGGTTCAGCCAGCGTTTGGAATGTAAGCGCAAAAAATGTGTTTATTTACGACATCACATTGGAAACCTCTAAAATTATCAGTGTTTCTCTACTATATTATGCATGTATTATACATATAAACCTTTCTCTTGAATCACTCTATCTTTAAAAAAAAAACCATCAAAATCCGTTGCGTAGTTTTCAAGATTTAAGCATACATAGGGACAGACAGCGGAAAAGCGACTTTGTTTTATACAATTTAGTGATCTATGACAAATATGCCACAATAAGTACCTAAAAGTTAGTTACAATATCTTATGGACAAATTGAATTAGTAGCTTCACTTTTGTTGCTAATGTAAATCATTTACGTATCTTTTCAGTGAGATTTATGTAACAAACCAATGTAACTTTTCCCTAGGCAAAAAATTAGTAACAAAATTATATGAAATTTGTATTAGATTGTTGTGATTAATTATTTTTTGTAATATTTATTTTCTGTTAATCTAGATAGTATGTAAATAATTGCGTTGTTAACTTTAGTAAACAAAGTGTCTGCGAAAATATTTTCAAAAGAAAGTGTCTGTGAAATTCGTCAGTTTTTTGGTGAATTTATTTTAAAGAAAATATTTTGGGATTACTGTTGATTGTAAAATAGTTAATACAAGGACGTCTGTTAAAACTACAACTTGACTTGTTTGATAAGTTATTTGGCAATTAAAAACTATCATAGATACACCTTGGAATTTCTTGCATTTAGCTTTAGAGGCTAATATAAGGATAAAACTAACCCCGAAATATTAATTCAGCACTTTAAAAGCAAAACAGCAAGCTCACTCCGATATTAAATTATAGCAAAATTATCCGGCAGTACCGAATTTGTGACTGCAGTTTTTTCAATTTTAACTTTGGCGACTGATATAAGTATATTACCGATTATGAAAAGCATCTATTTTGATTGTAAAAAAACAAAATTAATTTTAATCTAGAACCGAAGCAACAAACGAACGATGTAATTTTGAGAATATCACGGGTATACATTCCTTTCAACCTTTTGGGATTAATGTAATAATTTACAAACGTTTCGATTAATATTTAAGTAGCAAACTAGCATAGCAACTAATACGATTCTCTAAGCAACAAATTAGCATCAAAATAATATCACAGAATCGAACTTGTAGGTGCAGTTTTGTCGTTTTCCACTTCGACTGCTAATGTAAGTACATTGCCGATCTCAAAAAGTAATTTATCTGTTTTACAAGCAAGCCAACAACGTTTATTGTAATCTTATAACAAAGTATCAAATTAGCAATACATGTGCGATGTAAAATAGCATATTTGCTGCTACTTTATCGTTCATTTTATTTATAGCGAATTGAATCAAATAAACGGTGCAATTGTTTTTCACATTGAGTAAAAACCACTTCATTGTACCCATATCTTACTACATCTACAGATAAACATCAAAATGAGACTGCACTGACTCAGAAAAAAAAACTCGATGCCAATCATATCATGAGTTGTATTTGAGATGCATCGTCTTGTTAATCTTATTTCTTATAAAATAAATTAATAAGAACTTACTCTGTTTTAAAGTTTTTTTTTTAATTGCCATTATATTCTGCCATATTGCTGTTCTTCTGATCGGATTAAACTTTATTTTTCGAAATCAGTTTAACAAACAAACTATGGAATTATGGATTTAGTATGACATAGTTACTAATGGGGATGCAGTTATGGGCTACGTTATCTTGATATAGCAGGCATATCTGTTAGGAACAAAATCTGTCAACGATCATCAACTGCTAGCAGTGATCGCTTTATTATGTTTTCCTAACGGCCGTCTTACAATATACAAAGTCCGCCTATAGCTACAGTGATGGTTGCGATTCAGGAGAATTACGTTTTTTGTCGCAAGTAGTCCGAAACAACATATAACAATAATTGCGCAGTGATTCTTTTGATTGTAATTTGTCTGAAAAAACAATGAATGCAAAATTTACTGGAAAATGCATTTTTGCAGCATATTGTTATAAAGAACTTAGAACCTCCTAGAACAAAATTGCACTAGATCTTTTCTGTTTCTCGTTGAATTTCCTGTACGACAGTGCCAGTAAGATTCGTTATCATCATAAGGTCGTCGGTCCTAAAACAGGTCGAACATACACCTCCACTCTTTCCTATCTTGAGCCAATCTTCGCATTTCCCTAAAACTAGAACAACCCACATCCTTAACTATTTGCGAACAGTAATATAATCTGGGTCTACCTTTATTCCTCTTAACTCCTGTTTCTGCCTCTAATATGACTAGACCTTCATACCTGAGAAGTTTTTTATTGACTTCCATAAAGTCCTCTGTTCTCCTATTCTTTCTAATACCTCTTCATTTCTAATCTTCTCTATTCACGGTATCCTCATCATTCGCCTCTAACACCACATTTCGAACGCTTCTAACCCCTTTTTTTACGCCGCGCCCACCTTCCATGTACCGCACCCGTACAGCGCCGCGCTCTAGGCATACACCTCTAGTAATAATGTTTTTCGAATTTCTAAATTAATTGTTCCCGAGCATAGAAGGCGACTCGACCTTGCGCTATCTTCTGCTTTATAACTCTACTACTCCTTCCGTCCTGACATATCTGACTTTCTAGATACTTAAAGTCAGCCACTTCTTCTAATTTTTCGTCTCCTATCTTTATATTCGCTCATTCCCTACTACTTCTTCTCTTGCATACCAGTATTTTGATTTTACTTTTATTTATTTTCATAAAATACTGCTTTCTCAATGCCGTTTCAATTTTATTTAAAGTTACCTCCTCTTTGCTAGATGCTAAAATTGCCATATCATTTGCAAATCTAAGCGTAGTAATCTTTTGCCCCTCTATATCTATCCCTACAGTTGTACTGTCTTTAATGATAGATTAAAAAGTAACGGTGACAGCGTACATCCTTGTTTGACTCCCTCCCTAATATTTACTTCTCTACGTTGCTGCCACAGCTTTATAATTGCCTGTTGCTCTTTATACAAACCAAGTATCACTTGGCATTTGCGAAATTTGCAGGTCAGTTGTACTGCTAGTATAGATGTATTGACATGTGCACGAAAATAAGCTGGTATTGCTGTTTTATTTTCTTCATCGTTAGTAACTGGCTTCTGATATTTATTTCTAGATGTAATTCCAAACTGCCAAAATCTGGATTCTGTTCTTATAAACTTATCTCATCTCATATTAGGTTTGTAAGGTTATTTTTCGTTAAACAAACTACATGCTCGAGCGACACGTAAAGTTAATTTAAAATTTAAGTATTTATTTGTTAACTTTAGTAAACAAAGTGTCTGCGAAAATATTTTCAAAAGAAAGTGTGTGAAATTCGTCGGTTTTTTTGGTGAATTTATTTTAAAGAAAATATTTTGGGATTACTGTTGATTGTAAAATAGTTAATACAAGGACGTCTGTTAAAACTACAACTTGACTTGTTTGATAAGTTATTTGGCAATTAAAAACTAACAGGTTATGGGCCCAGATCATGCTCAAAAGTCAGTCACGCCAAATTATCAAGCAAAATAACAAGTTAGTCAATTCAGCCCTGTGTTCCAGCCAAGTCGTCGTCAGCGAAGCATCAAGTTGTGAGTAGTGTTGTCAAAATTCGTTTTGATTAAATTTCAAAATGGAGCAATCAACAAAATCAAATATTGAGATGTTGTCAGAAGATCAAGACGGTGAAGTAGATTTTGAAGCTTGGCAATTTAAAATTGATTTAACGCTAAAGTCAAAGAAAATTTATGAGTATGTAACTGGTGCAAAGCCAAAACCTGCAGGTAAAGTCGATGAAAAAGATGTAATTGAATGGGTTGAAAAAGACATTGAGGCTCAAACCGTCATTGGCATAAATGTTAGTAAAGCTATTTCGAAGAAGATTTTGAGTTGTACAACGGCATTTGAAATGTATGGAAAACTGCAAAACTTGTATGGCAAAAAGTCAGATTACGAGATCGAAGGTCTGCAACGCAAATTTTTCAGCTACACATTTGACAACTCCAAATCAGCTGTTGCAAATTGCAACGACATACTGCAACTCGCCGTAGATTTAACCTCTTTGNGTGTAACACAATTAAGCGCGAAGCTTTGGAGGATGTAAAGAAGATGAAATAAATAATTACATGGGGAGTTCATCAGGGTGGTAAAGGACAAAATTGTTTTTTAAAAACACTACAACAATTTACAATTCGCCAGTCCCATATGCGATTAGCAACGTATGTAGGTGTAGGAAATAGGGAACTGAGATAAAAAATCTTCAGCTACATCGATGAGGAATGTAAACAATGCCAATAATCGAACGTCTAAGATAAAAATAAGCAATTTACTACTACACATAACGTTTAGACGCGTGTTAGGATAAAAAAATAATATAATTACATTTGTTCATCGCTGCACTACCTAAATTACACCTCAACATGTATTAAGAACAAAAAACAAAGAAAGATGTCGGTTACGTAAACATTAATCGGTAAATGTGTATCATCAGGATAACTGTAATGTAATTGCGGCAGATTTATAACCACTAGTGAGGTATTGCTAAGGCGCCATATCCTGTTTATGACTATTCTTGATGATTTGTTAATAGCGCCATCAGTTCGTTAGAAAAAAAAACTAATTATTTACTGATCATTGCTTAGGTAGGTACTTATCGAGGAGTTATTGATTCCGGAAATAATATCACTGGACATACACATACGTACATTACAAAAATTGTTGGAAATTAGAAGCCCGTACTGGAAGACAGGCTCCTTAGTCGCATAAAACGTCTTGTATTTAATCTATTTCATTTGCAGCGATCATCACGGGTTAGTGCTCTTTTAAAATTCGTCACACTGTCATGAGAAGAGCCAGCGTTGTCATCTGTGAACTCAAGGATGTCGCCTTCGACATTGGCGATATGGTTCGGATGTCCACGCCCATGGTTTTCAAATGGTACCTATATATTGCCGGATTTTCGCAATCCTTGTACCGCATTTAAGATGACTCGCGGTTTTGAAAGTCTTCGTAAGACTGTACAACTCGATTATTGCATGAACATTATATTCACATTTTCCATACATTACGATGATATCACACAATTCTGTCGTACTAAACGCTATTGTGATAACAGTGAGTGGCACACTGACCTACTGTTAATGACTGATTGGTAGGGTTAATAGAATAAATTACTACATGCTAATATAAACATCTTGAATCACACTTACAATTAATCTAATCTAGCAAATAGCAACAATACATGAGCAAAAATCTACAAAAGAAATACGACAAATACAGTACAATTGTTACCGGGACCGGAATTACATTTGCCTGCACTTTTAACTACATTTTTCTTGAAAACGATGAACTTTCGGACATAGAAACATTTCTTAATCTTTAGAAACTTTTGTAATAGTCTACGACATTGATATTTAAGAGAACAAAATAAAAATTCTTGTACAAAAGAAATTTTGTTAAGGTATTAGTATTATCAGAAGAAATTTTATTGTAAACATGGCCTGTATAAGTACATATATCAAATTTTGCCTCTCAAGAATATCAATATTAATAGGACTAATCAAGCAATTTAAGAGGGGCTAAGCTTTACACCATAGTGTGATCATATTATAAATTAAACATTTTTTACCTCTCTTAAATTGCTTGATTAGTTCTATTGAAATTTAACATTGGGGGAAGAAATGCGAAGGTGTATCAATATCAATATTCTATATTCAATATTACAAAAATTCAAATAAAACACGTAGCTAATTGTTTTAATGAATTAGTTTAGATTTCAATCACTTTAGTTCAAATGTCTTTCCAACTGGAAAGCCTTCTGTCTCCAGAATGTCATGGTATAATTCAACATCTGTTTTATGTTTTATATTCTCAATCATTATTTATCTAAACATATGACAATTATATGCACTTTCAAAATCAAAAGAAAGAGGGAAATTCTAATATCTGAAAATATAAAGAAAAATTAAAATAATGTATAAAAAATGAAATCAGGTTTTCGGCTTTTTTTTACCTCTTTTGCTCCAACTCACGTGTCTGCTCCTCAGTTTGGTATAACGACGTCTACTGTAAATTTTTAAGCGCCATCCCGATGACTTAACATAAAAAAAAATATGACACATTCATCCTTTGTATTTATTTCTTGTTCCTAGTGGATTTCTTGGAAACGTAAGCGGGAGAGCTTAGGATAGTTAGTCGAACTTGTTACCGTAAAATTTATCCATGTTCAGCATGACTCTCGTACCCAGCTTCCCGATTATTCTCACCTCTACATACCTTCGTCCATAGTTTATTATTGCCGAAAGGAAAATATGTAATGCATTTTTTTTGTTACACCCACAATTATTTCTGGGACTATTGAATTGACGTTTATATGCTATTCCGCTGCTAACACTGCTCATTTGGCCAATTTTTTAAATTAACTTTTTCATTAAGTATATGAGTATCTCTAAAAAAATCTTCAACATGATAATGACATACATTGTACGAAAATAGCACGACACGATTAGTGCGCAACCAACCAAAATATTTACTTACTTTCGCAATAATTTTTAGTCGCACACAAATAAATCAACTCAAGGAATTACAAAGTTTTTATAGAAACTTTCCACACTTATTTGACGTTGATATTATGTTACGAACTCAAAACAGATAAACGACAGTATCTGAAAACAAACAGAAATTAGCGTTGTTTTATTGGAAAATAAGTAGCAATACAGAATAGAAATATTTTACACCTAGTAGGTACCTGCACTTGTAGTATTTTATTACCTTAATAAGTGTAACATTTTTGTATGTTTAATTTAGATTTNAGGATAAGCTGTCATTGTTAAGATTAATCTTGAATATTCTGGTACTAGAAATTTCGATGTATATATATAAGCCGAAATTCAGTGACTTTTCGTCAGCTTGATCGTGTTTGCAGTCAAGTGAAGATCAATTGAAATTGACAGTGAACAGTAATTAAACAAATCAAAGTGATTTTGGCAAATGAAAAAGAACGAACTATTTGAATATTCTAGAGTGATCTGTTACTAGGAATTTCGACGTATTATTTAGCCTGTCACGTGCTCCTATTTTGAATAATAGCGGAACGTGATTGGCTCTAATCAATTTAACCAAATTGTTACCGTTGATCAGCGCCTAGGAAACCGGGGGTAAGTCTCTCAATATCTAAGATAGAAATTTATATTATCTACTTTAAAAAGTAATAAATAATGTAAAAACATTCATCAATTGAATCAGTGACTCCTTCAAGATTAAATGCTCAAAAATTAAAATTGTTTGACAGCCAAAATAATTACAACAATTAGTCGCGTGCTTTATTGAACTATGTGCAAATTGAGGGGCACTTGTGACACTCAAGTGAGATATAATTTGGAGGAATTATTTGATATATTTACATACAGTGTAACACAATTAAGCGCGAAGCTTTGGAGGATGTAAAGAAGATGAAATAAATAATTACATGGGGAGTTCATCAGGGTGGTAAAGGACAAAATTGTTTTTTAAAAACACTACAACAATTTACAATTCGCCAGTCCCATATGCGATTAGCAACGTATGTAGGTGTAGGAAATAGGGAACTGAGATAAAAAATCTTCAGCTACATCGATGAGGAATGTAAACAATGCCAATAATCGAACGTCTAAGATAAAAATAAGCAATTTACTACTACACATAACGTTTAGACGCGTGTTAGGATAAAAAAATAATATAATTACATTTGTTCATCGCTGCACTACCTAAATTACACCTCAACATGTATTAAGAACAAAAAACAAAGAAAGATGTCGGTTACGTAAACATTAATCGGTAAATGTGTATCATCAGGATAACTGTAATGTAATTGCGGCAGATTTATAACCACTAGTGAGGTATTGCTAAGGCGCCATATCCTGTTTATGACTATTCTTGATGATTTGTTAATAGCGCCATCAGTTCGTTAGAAAAAAAAACTAATTATTTACTGATCATTGCTTAGGTAGGTACTTATCGAGGAGTTATTGATTCCGGAAATAATATCACTGGACATACACATACGTACATTACAAAAATTGTTGGAAATTAGAAGCCCGTACTGGAAGACAGGCTCCTTAGTCGCATAAAACGTCTTGTATTTAATCTATTTCATTTGCAGCGATCATCACGGGTTAGTGCTCTTTTAAAATTCGTCACACTGTCATGAGAAGAGCCAGCGTTGTCATCTGTGAACTCAAGGATGTCGCCTTCGACATTGGCGATATGGTTCGGATGTCCACGCCCATGGTTTTCAAATGGTACCTATATATTGCCGGATTTTCGCAATCCTTGTACCGCATTTAAGATGACTCGCGGTTTTGAAAGTCTTCGTAAGACTGTACAACTCGATTATTGCATGAACATTATATTCACATTTTCCATACATTACGATGATATCACACAATTCTGTCGTACTAAACGCTATTGTGATAACAGTGAGTGGCACACTGACCTACTGTTAATGACTGATTGGTAGGGTTAATAGAATAAATTACTACATGCTAATATAAACATCTTGAATCACACTTACAATTAATCTAATCTAGCAAATAGCAACAATACATGAGCAAAAATCTACAAAAGAAATACGACAAATACAGTACAATTGTTACCGGGACCGGAATTACATTTGCCTGCACTTTTAACTACATTTTTCTTGAAAACGATGAACTTTCGGACATAGAAACATTTCTTAATCTTTAGAAACTTTTGTAATAGTCTACGACATTGATATTTAAGAGAACAAAATAAAAATTCTTGTACAAAAGAAATTTTGTTAAGGTATTAGTATTATCAGAAGAAATTTTATTGTAAACATGGCCTGTATAAGTACATATATCAAATTTTGCCTCTCAAGAATATCAATATTAATAGGACTAATCAAGCAATTTAAGAGGGGCTAAGCTTTACACCATAGTGTGATCATATTATAAATTAAACATTTTTTACCTCTCTTAAATTGCTTGATTAGTTCTATTGAAATTTAACATTGGGGGAAGAAATGCGAAGGTGTATCAATATCAATATTCTATATTCAATATTACAAAAATTCAAATAAAACACGTAGCTAATTGTTTTAATGAATTAGTTTAGATTTCAATCACTTTAGTTCAAATGTCTTTCCAACTGGAAAGCCTTCTGTCTCCAGAATGTCATGGTATAATTCAACATCTGTTTTATGTTTTATATTCTCAATCATTATTTATCTAAACATATGACAATTATATATTTTCTAAATCAGAGAAAAAAGGAAATTTCAAATATCTGAAAATATGCTGGGTGTTCAATTTAAAAAATATGTTTTAAGCAGCCCCTGTATACTAACAATTTTATGAAAATTGTAGCATCACACATGAGAAAATCATAAAAGAAAATCACAGAAACCATTATTTTGAATTTTCAAAATATTACTACGTATAAAGATAAAGGCGGGCATCAAATTAGAAAATTCAGCCTAAGTTAATTCTATGTTCCATATAACCCAAAACGCCTTGGGTTCCGTGATGATATTAATAAATTACGCACAGCAGCAAGAAAACAAGTCTCAGACCGCTTCCTCCTTGAGTGTTTTTGCTATTTCTCACCACTCTTCGGTCAGGAAATGAGATTTTATTGGATACGTAATTTAGTAACCGTGCTCAAGAAGAGAAAAATTGCAAAAGTTTTTGACTTAAACAAAGTAATAGGTGCATCAATAATTAGTATTGAGGGTGAGCCAGGAGTTTCAAATCATGGGCCTTGACGCACCGACAGCTACGTTATAATGTTTTTTTTTAGGAACGTTTTTCAAACGTCGCTGATAGATTTATAAAGTGTGGTTATTCTGCTATTAAGGGCACATTATTAAAATTTCTGTTGTAATTTAAGTTAAGTAAACAACAATTGATAATTTTTCTTAATTTTAAAGTAGCCCTTTTGTTATATCGTCATTAGATAAGTAGTACTGAAAATGGTCAAGAATTAAAAAAAAGACATCCTAATAATAAATAACATCATCATATGAGTGATACTGATCCCGTTTTTCTGATATATGTAATCCTAATGTCTAGATTTTTTAATGGAAACCGTGCCATAAAATGAATGAAAATTTAATTATCAAAATTTATGCCTTCCAAATATTTAGAGTATGTTTATTTTAATTTAATAAATACAAACAGAAAATGAGAAAAATTTGTTTAAAACAAAAATCTCATGCGTTTAGTTTATAAAATTACTATGATTCATCATCATCATAAAGTCATCAGTCGTAAGACTGGTTGGACACGCGCTTCCACTATTTCCAATTCTGAGCTAACCCTAAAACTAAAATACCCCACATCCTTAACTATAATCTAATCTAGGTCTACTTCTACTCCTTTTAACTTCTGTTTCTGCCTCTAACATGTCTCTGACTAGCCCTTCAAGCCTATCTCGCCTATTTCTTATTGACTTCCATAGAGTCCTCATTTCTCCTATTCATTCTAACACCTCTTCATTTCTAACTTTCACTATCCACGATATCCTCGCCATTCGCCTATAACACCACATTTCGAATGCTTCCAACCTTTTCTTTTCCGTCGCGCACCCCGTCAATGTTTCGATTCCGTATATACAGTGCTGCACTCCAAACGTACACCTTTAACAATATTTTTCGAATTTCTAAATTAACCGTTTGCTAGTATAAAAGTAACTTCTTTTTAATGAAGGTGACTCGACCCTGTGCGTGCTATCCTC